AAGCTCTTCGAAACGTCTTAGCACAACGATGACAAGCAAAAGGATTATCTCCTTGGACATGGAGCTTTTGGTGCCGCTTCAAATTATCAGGTCGCCGTGTCTTTGCATCGAAGCGAAACGAACGGTGAGCTTGCATTGCTAGAATAATTTACTATGCACCTTCATAGACAGCATACCCGTGATATAGCAAGAGTGGAAGAGTTAGAGGACGAGATATTCCCCTCTCTTTACGCTATTGCTATCCGAAAACTGTACTTGAACGATAACCGAGGATTTCCAGATTGATCAGGAAGCTGGGCCGAAGCCTTTTTGCAGACCCAAATATTACATCTATCGCTAAAGGTTAAAGGGGCATTTGGACGAAAATCGCTCCAAAATTAAAACTCTTTCATTTGAGCTGAAACTTTGCTGAAATAATCTTTGATACATTAAGAACCACTCACTGAAATATCTTTCTGATATTCGAAAGAAAAATGCCGAAACTTTACGATTTATTTTCGTCCGCCATTAATTTGTTTGTCTCACGGCCAAAGAGTCATTATGTACAGCGGTTTCTCTCTGTGACGTCATGCATGCAACCCATTCAAGTTAGCATCGTTTTGACCATACATTTCTTGTTCGATTACCTGAAGTTTATTTGATGTTTTATACGCGTTATCGTGAAAAGAATGAACTCAGTAAACTTTTTTTTAAAGCTTTGATACCTTTTCAAATGGTGAAAAATCCTTTGGACGCTCTCTTTGTCAATCCTGAAGAGTTAGAAGCAGTTACTACCAACGAAGAAGTTATCGTGTACAACTTCTTCATAGAGAGAAGATGAAGCCGAACTAGAAGAAGAAGCAATGCTTGTAAAGAGGTTTTCATAAGAATTCCTTTTTTTTTTGAATTTACTTTCATTCCATGATTTGTATTTGCTACATACTGTCTATGATATAAAGATCTTAAATTTGAAGTTTCAATATAATCTAACAGCTATTGATGTTTTAAAAAAAATAGCCTTTTGAATTCTGCGTTGTGATACAAAGATTTGTAATAATTACTTTACTTTCATTCCATGATTTGTATTTGCTACATACTGTCTATGATATAAAGATCTTAAATTTGAAGTTTCAATGTAATCTAACAGCTATTGATGTTTTAAAAAAAATAGCCTTTTGAATTCTGCGTTGTGATACAAAGATTTGTAATAATTACTATACTTAGATCTATGTGCCGAATAATTTAGAATGTGAGCTCGTTATTCTCCTGATTTGCTACAGAACGTTTATCATTTGCTCCAAAATGTTTATTATGCATTTAATAGGTAAAAACATACGATTATCTAATATCATCTTTGTTAAGAAAACATGTCA